TGCCAATAGTGGAGCCCAAACTTTGGGTACGTTACGTAGATGATACTTTTGTCATCCTCAAACGCTCCAGACTACAAGAATCACATCAACTAATCAACAATATTTTTTCCGGCATCCATTTCACCAAAGAGGAAGAGAACAATGATCAGTTGCCATTCTTGGACGTGCTCGTGAGAAGACATGCTTCTGGGTCACTGGAAACAACAGTTTATCGGAAAGCGACCCACACCGATCAGATCTTAAACTATCGCAGTAACCATCCGACCACATACAAGCGAAGTTGCGTGAGGACGCTTTTCAAACGGGCCCAGACACATTGTAGCACGCCGCAACTGAGGAAGGCGGAGGAGGACCACCTATTTAACATGTTTCAGCGAAATTCGTACCCTAGAAGCTTTATTCTACGCTGCCTGATGTCGAAGAGCCAGTCACCACCCGCGTCCACATGTGCAACAGAAAGAAGAACGATTATCCTACCTTACATCCATGGGATTTCTGAATGATGGCAGCGAGGCCTCTAATTCCGTCACGGGATAACTGGTGCACATGAAGCAACGGAAACCAGACGAAATAAACTTTTTAAGGTGAAGGACAAACTGGCTAAGAAAGAAACATCGGGTGTGGTTTACAAAATTTCCTGCAAAAAACTGTGAGAAGTACTATGTAGGCCAGACTGGAAGAAAACTTGGCACAAGACTGCACGAACATAGTCTGGCCATCCGCCGCCACGATGAGAAATCCCTAATGTCGGTACACATGGATGCCGAGAACCATCAGTTTGATCTGGAGAACGTTGAAATACTTGGAAGAGCAAGAAACCGCAGAGCGCGTGAGTTCTCGAGGCCTGGCGTTCTGGCCGGAACTCAATCAACAAACACCTGGAGCTGGAGGGTGTCTATGAAGCTCTGCAGGTTAAGCCAGCATTAGGCATCAGATCGACAAGGAGAAGAGGTGCCCACATGACGGACACGTGAACCGATCGAAGGCTGACATTCGAAGCAGGCAACAATCAATAGTCATTCAGATCTGGAATTGGTTTGCGAGACTCGGCGAATCAGCACTAAATAGCTGCACTGAAGATGTTACCTAGTTTGGTAACGAAACATCTGCAACAGAAATGCCCAGCTCGGAGAACAGGACAGTCCTTTCATCCACATCCCGAGCTACAGGTATTCTCAATAATATTTAATATTTTTTATGCGCCCATTTAGTGAAGAGTTATGCCTGCTTATCTGTATGGATTATCCGATTTATTTTAGTTCGTCTTGTGGTTTCAAGTGACTGGCTGTTGTTTGATATCCCCAGTGTGGTTGCGCTTGAGGTGCATGTTGACAAGTTGCGTAATATTCTAGTACTCACTACCTCTTCCATACTAGCTCCAGGAGACAGTTGGTCGTTGTTGTTGCGCGGTCCTTGTGGTCCTGTTGGAATCAAAGAGTGGTTCCATGCACTCACTGTGGATTGGACCACTGGCCAGCCACCGCCTTGTGTGCGCTTGATTCTCAACTACAGGGTGCTTGATTTTGCCTGTGAAGGAGTGTGGGCCGGCTCGGTTGTGAAAAGTGGCTCCCATCCACGTGCCTCCCGGTTGAGTTCCTTCGAGTCTACTCTGGATATGGGGTGTATAGATGGAACTGTGCGTGGTGCAGCGCAAGCCATCCATGGTCCCTCTGTATGCGCACGCTTCCTGTGACTTTCCCTATTTAGGCTACAGTGACAGGCAAATCTGAAATCGGATGCCGGCGTCCATATATATATACATATTTATTGATGTATTTATATTTGTTTTTGTTCACAGTTTTAACGGCATTGTGGTATCAGAACCATGGCAGAAAAATTGGTGAAATTGAAATACGAAATTCGATAATGCGTGAAAAGTTTTTTCGGTTTTGCACCAACTATTTTAATTTTTTGGTTTTGTTTTGAGTTGGCAGATGTCGCTTGAACAGGTTCATCGTTGGAGGTGAGTTTGATCGCCGTAGAGGAATCAGGTAAAACTGGTTGTGAGTGGTACAAGGGGAGGTAGGTAAATTTGTGACGTGTGCTTGTGAAGTAAACATAGTAGTGTGAGTGAATAGCATCTTAGCAGCAAGGGAGTGTGTGAATGTTTGTAGTCGTAAGTCCATGGTTCGTCGGTAGGCGAAATACTCCCCGGTTGCCTAGGCCTAGTTATGAAGGTTGTCTTAGAGATTCACCGCCCGAGTCTTTGGCCAAAGGACCAAACGCACAAAGCAGCAGGGTGAGGTGAAGGATTCGCACCCGTTGGGAGCCGGTGAGTTGACTCTCAGTTCATACGCCTTTCGAATGATGATAAGCCATGCCACTGGCCCAACATTCTCAGAGTCAGAGCCTAAATCTAATGCTGGGATTGCTTGCCTGTGTGTAGTGTCTTCAAAGGAGACAAGGGACAGTGACATTATTTAGTGGCGAGTTACATGCGCCACGTCGCAGTGTTGTTAAACGGACTTTGGTGGCATTTTATAGGGAGAACGCTTGACAGGCGAAAACCCACCACGTCCTGGAACGCAGTTGCCGAACCATTCGCCGGAACGGCAAATTCCCGAACCGTCCAACTGACACCACTTGAAGGTTGTTCGGCGATCCAGCCCATGAATGAGGGTACACAGTATGGATGACATTGAACATGTACCGAGGAGCAACAACTAAAGCTACCGTCAAACTAATTTGCATAAATGTGGTTGAGTTGCTTCAACTAAGGTGCTGGGCCCGAAGCTCAAATCAAAATAATGAAGGTAGCAGTGGCATGGCTGTAATATCTATTCCGCATCAAGCTTACGGCTAAGCTTCAATGCAATGCCAATTCTGCTTTGGCACCTTAAGGAAAGGATTTCACGCTCATTGATCGCCTTATATGTCTACGCTTTATCTGGTTCTTGTCCATCAAGAAACTGTCCGGGTGAGCCCGAGAGCATTCTTCGTCTTGGCTGTTTAACTGGGTGCCCAGAACGGTGTCACATGCCGTGTCTACACATCCGGAAGTCATGGGGGCGGAACCCGGCAGGGGTCCGCTGGAAAGCGCACCACTGATGAGACCCAGAATGTCGAAACACCAGTGTCTGGTGCTTTTCCAGACTAGCCTAAGCCTGTTATCTGAGAGTAGACCGTGCTGAGCTGTATCTAAACCTTTTGTTATGTCGAATCCCCAAGTGCAGGCCCATCGAAGTCCCTCGCGATGCTACATTCAATGTCTCCGCTGTTGCTAACACCGTTAACGCCAATACAACGACAACTAGTAGACTATGACCACTTGGCATGAAACGAGGCCCAACGATCACTGACCTTGCAGTTCAGCAAAAATGGCCCTAACGATAACGCCCTGACTGTTGTGTGCACAAATATCCCGGAATCCACCGCTATCGCATTGCGGGGTAAGTTGTCTGACGATCAAGACCAAGACTCACTGTGCATCTTGATGAAGGTAAAAATCAAACCGACAAACCTAGTGAGAGCTACTCGTCACTCGAATTCTGCACACTATGGCGAACCCAGAATGATTAGCGTGACACTGGCATCGGTCATTGATGTAGCAAACGTGTTGCTCTCTGAATGTCTACTACAACACGGGATTTGTTAGTTACGCGTCGATCCTGAGGTCCTTTGGAGCACGCGTCAATCGAAAAGAAACAACTTGGATGGACACAGCAACCTCGGTTGTCTAAGCAAAGTCTTTATTTATAGCGTGTCATAACTTCCTTCCCACAATAGTCATGAGGCCGATAATCGTGATTTGGAACAGAAACAGTTCAAACCTGAAACACTTTCCTTGGACAACGTTGTGTCGCGATCACTCAAACTGCTTCCTCTCTCACCCATTTAGGGAGGAAGCGGCGCAAGATTCCTAAAACTCATGATTTCGTCAGAGTAGACAACCACGAAAGTGTTAGAAAGTTGGCGGCGACATCGGAAATGTCTTCCATCATAACTTCGGTTAAAAGCTGCTGAAGGAACGCTAGTGCAGGAACTTGCCAATACAATGCAGCGGGGGGTCACCAACGCCATATAACGAAACGTTTTTGAGGGGAATTTGGTTGTCTTGGTGATCAAGCGTTTTTGAGTAGTCCAGGTAGATAACATTGACTCCTGATCCGCCATCAACGGTTTCCGTCCAACTATTGCGTGCAAATTAGCAGGTTCGTAGTGCATGAGTTCTTTTGTCGAAAGCCATGTTGCTCTGGTGCTATTATCTTGTAATTTTCTAGATACTGTATGAGTGCATCAGCGATGATAGACTCCATAACCTTGGAAAGCACAGGGATTAGCGTTATAAGACGGTAATTAGTTGGGTCAATGCGACTACCTCCCTTATGTGTAGCAGTGATGACAACTCGCTCCCTACTTCTTGATTAACCTGTAAATCGATTAAACCTTAGTTTAGTGATTGGCCACAAATACTGTAGCTGCAATTCGTTTTGTTGCTCTTCCACACCCTTTAGTTATCAGTGGGTTTACCAAGTTAGCAATCTTTTCGAAAATTGTTTTTGCATACCGTTCCCTTCGCCGTATTTATCTGTAGCGAAACTTTCTTAAGTGTTCATGCTACTTTGGATTGCAAAGTAATATTGCACATAAAGGCATGCCTTGGTGTATTTTCGGCGCAACCACACACCTCAATATACCATGTCTCAACCATCAAATGACTCAGCTAATCAGTAGTCTGAACCGAAAAGAAAGGGGTTGTAAACCTCGGACTAATTTATTTACCAAAAATTCAATATCCATGCACATACAAGAAAGCGGTTTCTTGTCACGCTTCATATTAGAGCTTCAATCTGAGGTAACCTTACTAAAACTGCCCCCCCCACTGTTGATCAGATGATTGATGTCCGAAAAAGGAGCCACATGTAACGCATTTATTGATCATTTTTAAACTTGTCCATTCTCACCTTGGTTTTACCGTTGGACAACACTTTGTATTAATACACCTTCCTTCTTGCTTTACGCTGTAAATATTTCTGCCTTATTTGCTTTCTATTTCATAGACATGTGTTCGAAAGCAATTTACAGAAACTCCTCGAGCCTTACAGAACTTGTACCCCTGGTTGGTCAACCAGTGGGGCACTGGGAGACACCACCGTGACCACCTTGTCAAGTTCCACTTTGAATGCGGAGACCAGCTATTACCGCAGTCACCGCCCTTCTTTATCAGTTGATGCAGAATATCTTCCAATGAACACAACGCCCGAATTAGCGAACCGGTGCGAAAGTATTGAGGGAGCTGTTCCCCCAATCCCGGTAAGGAGCAGAGCACCCATGCGTCGCACAACCGGACAACACACATCTGATAGTCCCCGAAGGCCAATACCATACTCAGGTTATGAGCATCAGACGGAAGACGTGACACGGATATCGTGATCAAGACAACCTGAGCACATTATGGCCTAAGAAGCCACATGACTGAGGTGAGTGAGCGTTGCGCTTATGCCTGAAGACGATAGAAGAGATACAGCTATCAAAAGGCAGTGTTGGCGAGCATATGTTTTCGATAATTCTTCGTCAGTCTAGTACAATTATCTCTCCGTCAACTCAAACAGACAGTCTAATGAGGTCGTTAAAAAGAGGTACAACCAGTGTTCAGAAGAGGTCAACCATCGCTATTGACCATATCAATGTCTAGGCCTGAATACGATCCGACTGAATATTGGTCACAGGTCTATCAGGCCAGGATAACCTGAACGCAAAGACTCGGTTAGTGTAGCCTGATTCCGTTGGTTCCAGCGGCTTCTAGTATCCGTTTGCGCATATATCGCGTTCGATTATCAGGAGCCTTGTAGAAAATTCTGAATGCGTCGGCTGGATTGGGATTGTGCCCTGTGTCTGCGAGGTGGGCAGCTATCGAGGAATGGCATTCTCTTCTGACTCCAGCCGTTAGCCATGCGGGACGGAGTTTTTTCACATTTTCTGATAAACACCTATTCCTACGACTAATGTATCGTGCCCCAAATGAACAGGTGGATGAACACAGAGTTGTCGTGGACAGGTCTGCTATTCTTGAGGCTGATGATGTATACCTGTAACTTTGCCGCCGGGAAGGTAACCTCTAAGCTGCTGCGATAGACGACGGTTAAGAAATTCTTCCACGATTCCTCCTTTGTACGGAAGTTGTAGGAAAATTGTTTTTTTTGTTAACCGTTAAAACTAAAGGCATAATCACGCATATCCGCCGTAGTTCCTCTGAAAGTGTATCATGTGAGCAGATTCTTTCCGCTCGACCTATCAGGTTAAGTATTAGGTTCCGTTTCAACTTCAGTGACACGAAGCTGTGTAAGTTAGTGTACTGGACCTTTCTATGTACGTGCCGCTGTAACCTGCTATCGAGTTTCTTTAGGCCGGCGTCGAAAAGTGAAAACAGTCATTTTCTTATACCTCCGTAGTAAAATGGATCGCTTTACGGGCTCGGCCAAAAGTTTCGGTAATATCTTCGATATGGGGATTAAGCAACACAAATATATCATCAAGATAGCGGCGATAAAAGCTGATACTCGCGATTGTTGATTTCAAATGCCCTTGTTCAAGCAGGCCCGTAAAAATATCAGCAATTACAGGCACAAGTGGGGAACCCATCGCCACTCCATCTCCCTGGCGGTATATCCCCGTTAAATATAACTTGGACATTAAACGTGCATCAAACGTTCATGGCCCCGATGGCTATGCCGATGTTTATCCTGCACTCTTCGACATATTCGCAATTTCATTTTTTGTTTCAATTAAGGGCACATTCATGATTAAATAGGCGATATCCAGAGAGCATATGGTCAGACCCGAGGCGTTTAAATCTACAAATTCAAAACTATCCTTCAAGCTGTGCGTTACTATCCGCTTCCGCATGGGTTCAAGTTTCTCCACTGTAAAGTGGTACGGTGAATCCTTCATATCCAAAACTGCTGTGTTGCTGCAGCTGATCCTCTCTCCCAACATTCGGGGGTTTCCTGCCTACCCTGTACCACTTTGCTGGAATCCGTCATAGTGCCAGCTAGCGATAGTTTGTATATGTGGGGCTTGCAATTTTGTTACATTTACAACACAACAGGATACTACAGGCTGACCAGTGTGGAGTAAGTCTGGTCGCAATGTTTATGGAAACGATCGCGGTACCCAATTTTGTTATTCACAAGCTACCTACGTATGAGCGGTAGATTCGCGTATTTTTAAACTACTGCAGCTTATGAGTAGTATCACGTTTTTCACGTTTTCAGTGATAAGCTGGTCGCTGTCTACCCGGCGATTCCTACCAACACAAAAGACCCGATGACTGTGATTGTCGAATCTTGACGTAAACCGTGGTAACAGCTGAGGCTGTGTGTCGGAATCTAAGGACACATGGACGGTACTCTAAGACCTAGTAGTAAGCTTCTAGCCTCTAACAGGCGTTGCTTTCAGGGCTCTGACCTAGTCATGGTAATATAGGCAGCCAACCACCATGTGTCGGGTTCAAGTCTCAGCTCTGGCTATCTCTACCTAATGATTTTAACTGAAGACAAAAACGGTCCTGAAGTGCAATCCTAGAAAGTCGCAGTATAAAAATTCTTCCCCAGCTAAGTATGCTCATGGCTGGCCACCTAACGGCCGGCTTAAAAACTAACACAAACTTGACATCCATCAATGAACTCCTAACAACAAAAGTCCCCTCTTGCATGTACACAAATGCCCAAGGCCTTCTAAGCAAGTTGGCCGAACTTAGAGAACTCTATGCCTCACAACCGCGAGACCTCGTCATAATTACAGAGACATGGTTAAACCCTGAGATAACCGATTTTGAGATCAATTTACCCGGTATGTCACTGCTTCGGTCCGATAGAATCGGAAGGGGGGGCGGTGTGATTCTTTATTATAATACAAACCTCCGATGTGAAGTTATCGACCATCCGGAAATCCGAGCTCCCGATTCGCTTTGGTGCCGCCTATGGTTGCGAAACAAGGACACATGCCTACTAGCCGTGATTTATCGCCCACCAAACTCAACTTTGGAATTGGACTCCAAACTGAACCACGTTTTCCAGTTTGCTTTGAACAAGTCCTACACCCACATTCTTATCGCTGGAGACTTTAACGTGCATGACATCGAAACGCCGGCAACCGATGGTATGCAGTTTAAAGCCTGTTTGCAAGAGCTTATTGCTACTTACCCTCTGTACAACCCCGTAACCTCCCCCACCAGATTCAGAACTGCTAACAAAACATCGATACTGCATCTTGTGCTCACTAACGAAGAAGACGTGGTTGACGGTATAGTTACAAGCACAGCTTTGGGTCGTAGTGATCATGTTACTCTACTCTTTGACCATATTTGCTATGCGGAGTACCCTGAAAAGGAGGAGGATAAAGTACATGCTGTCACACACTACAATGTGTTATCTAAGCTTGTTAAAAATACATCTCGGACTTTCTTAACCGAATGCTCCCCAGATGCTGCCTGGAAACATTTACAAGGACGTTTATTACACTGGTAGCGCACGCATCAGAGCAGAAGTCCTTCCAACCCAAAAACAAGCGTAATTCATTTCTGAGGAGCAGAACACGTAAATGTATGTCCTGGAGGGATTTGACATGGCGTGATCACCAGGACTGCCCGAATGCCGAAACCTGGACTGCATATGTGACACTTCGTAACTTTTGTGTGAAACTGATCCGCGAAGACAAGGTCACTCATCAGCAAAAGTTAATGAATCGATTCTGCACCAACCGCAAACTCCTGTACAGGCACGTTAACGGCCTTCGAACGGTAAAGCGAGGGGTTCCAGCACTAGTCACAGCTGATGGGTGCACGCGGTCAGTAATGGAAGCAGCTGATCTCCAAAGGCTTAATTACTCCCAAACTTTCCAGCAGGTAACGAGCACAAACATTCTCCTCATTTCTAATACTCCACCATCTGGTTTAGAAAACATCACCTTCACTGCGGAAGCGGTGTTGAAGAAGTTGTTATCCTTGCGTATCCACAATTTTCCAGGAGCTGACAACCTCCGACCAAAGGCTCTGCAGGCGGTAGCGATTGATCTAGCAGAACCACTGGCAGCTTTCTACCAGCGATGTCTAGAAGAGAGCTGTATTCCACCAGTATGGAAGGAAGGGGTCATCACTCCTATTCATAAAGGAGGTAGCCGCACTGATCCTGCCAACTACCGTCCAATAACACTACTTCCCGTACTATCCAAAGTGATGGAATCAATCATCGCGGATGCGCTGATGGAATACCTGGAAAGCCACAATTTAATAGCCCCAGAGCAACATGGCTTTCGTCAAAAGCATTCGTGTAATACTAACCTATTAATTGCACGTGATAACTGGACTGAAGCTGTTGATGATGGAGTATGAGTCGATGTCATCTACCTGGACTTTTCAGAAGCGTTTGATCGCTTATACCATCGCATTCTCCTTCAGAAGCTTCGTAATTACGGCATTGGCGACCCAATCCTGAGTTGGGTTGACAATTTTCTACAAGAACGACGGCTACTGGTGAGAGTCCGAGAATCATTGTCTGATGCAATCAATGTGGCGTGTGGAGTACCACAAGGCTCGGTTCTTGGACCTCATCTATTCTTGGTGTTCATTAACGATTTGGCGAGATCAATTACTTCCGATTTCCTATTTTTCGCTGATGATATTAAGATATGGCGACCATGAACGGCTCCAGTGCGATCTTAACACAGTGTAGAACTGGTCAGTTCAAAACGCCCTACCGTTCCACGTAGACAAATGTCGCGTCGTACAATTACGCCATTGTCATAACTACACCTATTCACTTGTGACCAACGGATTGCAGAATAGCTCCCAGGAACGTGATCTTGGTGTGATCGTACAGAGCGACCTCAACTGTTCAAAACAGGATGAGGTAGCTGCGAAAAGAGGCAACCAGCATGTCGGCATGCTGCGAAGGGCATTCGGTAGACTTGACCCATCAATCTTCCCAATGATACACAATTCCTACGTGCGCCTGCATGTTGTATAAGCTATCCAAGCTTGGCAATCTTGGTTGAAGCGCGACCTAGAAGCGATAGAGACACCACAACGAAGAGCAACAAAGAATGTAAAGGGCCTGAGCTATCACTCTTACCACCGAAGGCTGAAGTTGCTGGGAATTTTCAGCGGGCGCTATCGAAGGCTGCGCGGCGATCTCCTATTAGCGTATCAGATACTGAGTGTCCCCAACCACGTGTGCCGCCATTTGCTGAAACGTAGCCACAACACGCAGCGCAGGGCTCTGTATAAAGTTGAAGTAACAAACTAGCCGAGTGTCCATGGAATTACTTTTCCCTCCGGGTTTGCAAACCCTGGAACGCACTCCCAGACTCAGTTGTATCCTCTCCTACCTTGAATGTTTTCAAAAGATGATTGGATGTTGTTTTAGCTCCCAACA